TTATTCATCTGATTCCATTCAACTTCTCCTTGACCCTTTCATCCCCAAGATGTACTACCTCTTTAAGGATAATACTATATTAATTATTCCCTCTCTCCCTTTATTCCTGAATTATTGTAGTACTCCCCTGTACTACCTTCATCACAGCATTTAACACACTGTTATAATTATTTATTTACTTTATTCAATCACCAACCCCTGACCTAGGTTTTGAGAATGTAAAGAAAATCTTCACAAAAGTCATATTCTACGGGTGGGCTATAAATAAGACAAACAATATGCCAAAAAGTAATGAGGTTATGAAAATAAAAATAAAGTAAAAACTCATAGTTTTGATAAATTGAAACAAGATGTGAGAAAAGGCCAAGAATCAAGGGTGATTCCTAAATTTTTGATTTGAGAAACTGAGTAAATGATGGAATTGTTTACAGAGTTGGAGAACACTAGAGGAAGAAAGGTTTGAAAGAGAGAAAAATGAAGAGTTCTTTCTTTTCCATGTTAAGAAGCCTTTTTGATATTCAAGAATAGAGGTCAAGTAGGCAGTTCAACAACCCTGCAGTTCAGGACCAAGGTTAGCCTCAAAGGTATTTAAAACCGTGAATGAAGAAATTATTTCAGGAGACTAAGAGGCAAATGCTACTGAGCAACTGAGTGAGCTGAGGACTGAGCATTATTAACCAGGGATCTGGAAACAGATAAATAACCCTGACAAGAGTGAAATGGTGGGTGCAAAACTATTTGAATAGGGACAGAAACAATGAGAAGTAAAGAAATAGAGAACCAGGAGCTTTTCTATAAAAAAAAAAAAAAGGAAATAGGGTGGAGCTTCAAAAGAACATGGATTCCATCTGAAATAAGCCATTACTGATGGAAAGATTGATGATGCAAGAGAACATGGACAATAAATAAGAAGCCTTAAGCCTTTAAGTCATTTAGGGAAACCGGGCAAGGTTCAAGTGGAAAAACAGGCCTTTCACCCTCTGTAATAGAAAGGCAACACATATGGGTAGTTTGGTAGATGTGATGATGGAATAGCAGAAAGCCGGATCTAAGGTTAGGATTCTGTCAGGCAAGTACCACAGAGGGAAAGAAGGTAAGGGAGCTGAGATATATGCAAAAAAGCAATTGTATTCATGAAGCATGGACTCCAAGCTAGAAAAGGAGAGGGGGAAAGGACATAAGTGAGTACAGAGAAAAGTGGAAGGATTAATAAAGAGGAGGAGCCAATGGAGTAAAAAAAAAAAATTATTTTGAGGAATAAGGAAACCAGGTAAGTAGATAGTAGCCAGTATTTAAAAAAAAAAAAAAAAAAAAGGTAAGTGGAGCAATTATATGCATAAGAGAGTTTAAGGTTTGACCATGGGAGGAGATTCCCAACGTTGAGGGGGAGGGTGGGTCTAAAAGCTGAAGGATCAAATGTTGCATTATCCATGTGTATATCCTAAACATGATGACAGGAATTATGGGAAGCAGTGAGTCAGGTACACATGAGGAGGTATAACTGGAAGGTAAGGACAGATTGGGAGGGGTATGTATTTCAGAAGAGCTGGAAGAAATGGACTGAAGCAGCAAATGGGAGAAAAGGGTTCTAACTGGGGGATGAACAAACATTACTGAAGGATTATAAGGAATAGTCAGGTAGGGCAAGAAAGTGAACGTAATTTTATTTTCAACACTCTGTCTCTATTTGATGCTAATAAACTATCAACTCCGGAAGGCAAATTGGAAGGGTTAGGGCAGGCAGCATTGAAAGGTTGGAAGATTGCATGAAGTTGGATATACACAAAGCCAAATGAGAATAAAATTTCCCAGCAATAATGCCAACCTGGCAATTTTGAATACAAATAAGCAAACACCTTGTATAAGCGTCATGAGATCAGCTCAGTATCTTTCCAATAATTTCCCTTTCTGCTTAAGTTAGCAACTGAGAAATTCTAATGATAATTACCTTCAGGTAGAAAGCCTTGCATAACTAAATAAAAAGTGTACCTGAAGAGGAATAGGGCTGGGAAAGGGTACTTTCACTTTCATACTTTATTCATTTCTCTATTATTTCAAATAATCTTCAACAAGTAAGCATTTCTTTTTTTATATATTTTTATTGATTTCAGAGAGGAAGGGAGAAGGAGAGAGAGATAGAAACATCAATGATGAGAGAGAATCACTGACTGGCTGCCTCCTGCATGCCCCCTATTGGG